TCCTCTTGTGCATATTGCTAAAACCAGCAGCAATGCTTCCCATTTAATATTTGCTGAGCGTCTCCTATGTGCCAGGAACTTCTCACGGATTTTCCCATTAATTCTGAAAACAACTTGAAGAACTGTTATGAATCCCATTTTACAGATGAGAAATTCAAGGCCTAAAGGAGTTTTTTTTAGCCCTGTAGTCTGAATTCAGAGCCTCAGACTTGACCACTGAGCAATATTCCCTCCTCATACTAATGTGCCTGCTTATAACGCCACTTGCCTCCTTCGCTCCAAGTATTTCTTGGTTATCCATGTGACTAATGTCAAATTCACACTGAATTAAAGCTCCTCACACTTGTGCTTAATTGAGATATGTAAATTTAAGTATAGAGGCTTGGTATCTGTTTTTGTTGTTGTTGTTGTTTTTAACCTTGTAACATCTTGTTTCACTGACTGAATTTAGGCTAGATAAGCAAGCATTTTATAATATAGAGAGAATCATGAATTTGCAGCGCTCGAGATTTTAAAGCAAAGGCCAGATTGCTGCATCTCCTGCAAAGCGGAATGATTCAAGTTTCAAGTGAAGTTGATTCTTAGTTTTTTTTAGCCCTGAAATTCCATTGTCCTACCGATGTCATGAGGAGCCCTAGTGGCACAGTGGTTAAAGTGCTCGACTGCTAACCGAAAGGTCAGCGGTTCGAACCCACCAGGCACTCCTCGAGAGAAAGCTATGGCAGTCTGCTTCCGCAAATATTTCGGTCTTGGAAACCCTACGGGGCAGTTCTACCCTGTCCGATAGGATTGCTGTGAGTTGGAATCGACCTAGGGCAAGGGGTTGATTTTTGGTTTTTTACTGATGTCACTACACACGTGAAAGTATGGCGTTACTAAGATCATGAAAATTTCATGTTTCATATGGCCGGTTCAGACCCAATATTGCAAAGCACTCTTTATTTTTCCCTTACCTGGGGAAAATCCCCTTTTAGCATTCCTGAGTGGTAAACATTACACATGACCAAAAGCCTCCTTAGCACCAATATTATATCATAAATATATATCCTGTATCTTATTTGTTATTTATATATTTTAAATTTGAAATAATTGTAGACTTGCAAGAAGTTGCAAAAAATGTATAAGAAATCCTGCCATTATGTTTTTAAAATGAAATAACAACGGGATTTTTCATTTCAAAAGTAGAACATGCTCACTGAAAGTTTTCACATAAGGCAAAGTACATGAAATGAAAATGGAATATCTTTACCTTCACACCACACTCTGCCCAGCACCATTATTAAGAGTTTGGTGCGTGTCCCTCCAGTCCTTTGTTTATATGCATATACAATTGACTAATAAAAGAAGACAGTTTACCAAACTACTCCAGCTTCCTCTCCATCCCTGCATAGCTCTGTCCAAATGTATTGTGATTGTCAGGTACAATAGCCCCAAATACAATAATAGCTACTGTTTATTGAGTATTTATGCTTTTCCAGGCACTGGGCTGCGTACTCTACACACACGACTCATGTATCTCATGTACCTATCACAACAACCTTAGACAGAAGGTATTCTATTAGGGTTTGCAAGTGAGGAAACTGATGGTCAAGTTTACCCACCTACTAATACCAGAGCCTGGAATTTAAGTCAGGTCCATCTGACTCTGATGCCCATAACCTTTCCACTTCAATGTCCTGCAAAAAAAATTGTATGGAATAAGAAATTAAAAAAAAAAAAAAGAGAGGGCCAAATAGGGAAAATATCTACACATTTTAAATTTCCTGAGAATTCAGTCAAATCATCTCACGTAGAAACAAACAAAAATGAATGGTAACATCAGTCAAACCAATTTCTTGCAACTATGCTTATAAAAAGAGTTGAATGATTGGCTCTTTACTTTTCCACCCATTGTACATTGGTCAGCACCAGCATGAGAATTTGTGGCCTTTATCAGTCATGGATTTCATAAGGTCTGTCTCTGCCACAAACATGACATTGGTCAGCATTTCTTAACCAGTGTATTTAGACTCAAGTTTGACAAAAGTCTGGCTCTTTATATATAATTTACCCCTCTTCTGCCTATGCCATGGGGGAGGCCACAGAGTCCCCTCTCATGAATGTGTGTGTCACAGTGGAGAGAAGGGCTGACCTCAACTAATGACCTCTCCTTGAGAGAGGGTGCCTCTTGTCATTGACCTGCCATCATGGAGCCTGATACTCCCAATGCCATCTGATCTCCCTGTCTGTTGAAGGTGAATACAGAGTCACAGTTTGAGGCACAACAACTGCTCACGAACAAGCTGGTGAAGCCAGTGGAACAGGGAAAAACACAAAATCCAGCAGTATGGTCAGGTCCACAGAGAAAGAGGAGGTTGATAAGAGGCAAAGCAGCTGAACTCAAGAGGACATTTGTCACCAGCAGTTCCTGTGCAAACATCTTACTGATCTGAGAAAAATAACAGCCCATGGGGCTTAAATATGGCCCCATGGCCCTTTGGCCTGTGGTGGTCCTAGCATTCTCCTCCCCTATGAGAAGAGTTGTGTTCAATGGAGACCTCATGACAACATCTGCTCAATCCCAACCAGAGAGCAGCAACTCCTGTTTGTTTTTCTTTTCTAATCAATTAATAATCTCTAAAGGCAAATGAGAGAGAGTGAAGTTATTTAGGAATAACCCTGAATCTATGAGATTTCTTTAAAAGAAGGGAGATGGGGGAAGTAAATCATCCACAAAACTCAGGACCTTATTACGGTTAATAAATTGCTTGCTGCACACTTTGCAAACACCATTGTGTTGTCCATAAAGATGAGAGCCCTACACCTAAGCAAATAAAAATGTTTCCAAACATAAATGTTAATATGTACATTTATTTATATTTATTTAAATAATCAGTTTGTGCACCTATTGACATACTATAGTGTAACATAGGGGAAATAGGATCTTGTACTTTCTTTCTGAAAATTATTCTTTTCTCTCCTGCTTGTCAAAATTAGAGAAGTACTAATACATTGCTATACATATAATTTACCACAAACAAATATTCCACTCAAGGAATTCAGGCACCCCTCAGGTTTTAGAGTAGATAATCTCTAAAGTCAATTCCACTCTGGTTCTGTGAGTACTACTGTATAAATTGATATACACACACAAGAAATTAAATCTATGTCACTAAATACATGCTATGAAATTGTAATAAAAATTTGTACACTATTTTGTAATATGCTCCTATGAGTTAGACATCTCTTGACACTGGGCAGAGTTTTTCTCAAATGTGATGATAAACAAACTACTTACCACTGACTCTTGCCAAAAGCCTTGGATTTCTGGCTATGGTGGTGGAGCTTGCTGCTTTCCACACTACTGCCTGGTCTGGAAGGGATACTCCTTGCCAATACAGGCTGTTGACTGCCATGGGTCTTGAGGGGGACCTGCCATTCCAGGAGCTGCCTAGAGCAACTCATTGCCTAATGCAGAAGTCTCAAATATTTCTTCGATCTCTCCATGAATTCATTTTTCTAAGATGGCCATTTATAAACACCTCTGGACCGACCTTATGGGAATATCCATCTAACCTCTCTCTAAGCAGCTGTTCTGGGACTTCTCAGAGTGCAAACACAACTCAGGGGCAAAGCCTGAACAGAAACTGAAGAAATGAAGAGCAATTAATTCTCTCTTGGACTCATTAAATTCTTGGCAAATGTCTTTTCTGAGCATGCAGTGAGGTGATCAGCTTCCTATCTTTTTCAGGACGTTTGTGGGTGAATTTCAGTGCTAGATTACTATTAGGAAATTACAGGTGACTGAAACTTGTGAAACTGACTTTCCCCTCTCCATTTGGGAGAGAATGGGTAAGGGTTAATGTGACTTATTTGGTTGGATTCCATGAGGCACTGGGAGTTTTCTCCATTTCATCTGCAGCCCCTGATTTCTGGTCCTGCCATTGCTCATGACCTAGTTAAGACACTGCTTGCTCTGCAGTTCTGAAGGGGAAAGAGGCAGAACAGAGTTCTGTTGAGCACTGATGCAGAGAAGGCTGTAGGTTTGAAAATCATGTAGTATTTTACAGCACCAAAACTAGGACAAAAACATCAACAAGTGTCAAGAATTAAGCCTCCAAAGCTCACAAATTCTATTACCAACTTGTGTTTCTTTTTTCTTTTTCCCCTACATGTGAAGGAGAAGCACAGAAATGGTGCTTATTAAAAGGACTTGAATCATTAGCCATCTGGGAAATGCAAACCAAAATCACAAAATACTACTTCATAGTTACTAGAAAAGCTTTAATAAAGAAAGACAGATAATAACAAGTACTGACGAAGATATGGAACAATTAGATCCCTCAAACACTGCTCTTAGTAATGTGAAATGGTCCAGCTGCTTTGGAAAACAGTCTGGCAGTTTTTCAAAGACTAAACACAGAGTTACCATATGATCTAGCAATTCCACTCCTAGGAATATATCCAAGAGAAATAAAAACATATGTCCACACAAAAACTCATACATGAATATTCACAGCAACATTATTCATATAGCCTAAAAGTGAAAGAAAAAAAAAAAAAAACAAATGTCTATCAAATTGATGAATGGATAAATGTAGTATATTAATACAATAGAATATTATTCGTCAATTAAAAGGAATGAAGTATTGATACATGCTACAACATGGATGGACCTTAAAAACATTATGCTAAGTGAAAGAAGACGGTCACAAAAGGCCACGTATTATATTATTCCATTTATATGAAGCATCAAGAATAGGCATACCCATAGTCACAAACAGCAGACTAGTGGTTGCTAAGGCTGAGAGTTTGGGGAGTGAGGAGGATATGGGAAAGTCTGCTAATGAATATGGAGCTTCTTTTTGGGGTGCCAAAGGTGTTCTAAAATATCAGTGGATCGGAGAACAATTGTACATATGATCACAATGGTGGGATGGGGCACTGCAGTGCTCAAGAGATGCTATATAGAGACTGCACTGTTACAATTGCAGCCAGAATGCTCACGTTTTTCTCCAAATAAGAATCATTCCCCAGAATGAAAAACATTGATCTAATCACTGATCTTACTGGAGAATACATGTTCTCCAGCCAGCTTCTTCAGGGCCCCTTTGACCTCCTTGTTTCTCAGGCTATAGATGATGGGGTTCAACATGGAGGTCATAACACAGAAGAGCACAGAGACCAGGATGTCTATTTCCAGGTTGTAGCCTACATTGGGTCAGTCATAGTTGAAGTTGGACATTCCAAATAAGATCACCACCACAGTGAGGTGGGAAGCACAAGTAGAGAAGGCCTTACTTCTGCCTTGAGCAGAGGGAATCCTCAGGATGGCAGAGATGATGAGTATGTAGGACACTGCAGTAAACAGGCAGGAGCTCAGACCAATGGTGGCACTGGCTGCATGGAGCACAGACTCACCGATGGAGGTGTCTGAGCAGGAGAGGTTCAGGAGCAGTGGGATGTCATAGAGGAAGTGGCTGATCTGGTTGGACCCACACAGAGTGAGTGTGGCTGCCTGTTGTGTGTGTGTCAGAAAAATCACCAGCTCACATAGCCAGGATCCAGTCACCAAACACACACAGACCTTCACGCTCATGAGGACTGCATATTGAAGAGTGTGGCAGATGGCTCCATAGCGGTCATAAGCCATAGTAGCAAATAAGACACCCTCAGTGCCAGCACAGGTCACGAGGAAGAACATCTGGGAAAGGCAACCTTCATACGAGATGGTCTTTTTCTCCAGGAAGACGTTCACTAGCATGACTGGGATGGTAGTGGATGTGTAGCAGATGTCCAAGAAGCTGAGATTACTGAGAAAATAATACATAGAAGTTTGAAGGGCAGGACTGACCCTGATGGCCATTATTATGAGCATGTTCCCCAGGAGAGTTGTCAGGTAAATGACCAGGAAGAACAGCCCCTGTAGATTGGGGTGGTTGGAAAATCCCAAGAAGATTAATTCCATGACATCTGTTTGATTATTCATCTCAAATGGTGTCACAGCTACAAAGCAATGAGGAAAAATATCATACTGAGAATTTAGAGACAGTACCCTAAATGGATACTCTCAAATAATGGCCATGCCAAATAATGTTGGATGTACACCTCAGTTTGCTCATTGCATTATGATATAAACAGTACTTATTTCATGGTTCCTAGGAATAGTAACATGGATAATATAAGCAATGTGCCTGGAGCATAATAGGTGCTCAATCAACTGTAGCTATTCTATAATTTTTAATCCAGTCAAAAATCTTTCAAGATAAAATATATTCTTTGACACTACCTTACAAATATATACAAATATGACTACTTTCACCACCTTCACCACTGATAGATCAGTCCAAGTAGCCATTTGCAATAGCCTCCTATCTGTGTTCCATTTCCTTCTACCTCTGCCCCCATTTAGTCTGTTTCCTCACAGCAGCAGCCAGAGTTTTTATAATGTAAACTAAATCATGCCACTGTCATGCTCAAAATCTTTCAATGGTTTCCCATCTTACCCAGAATAGAATTCAAAGGTCTTTCTTTGGCCTACAAAGCTTATGGAATCTGACCTCTAACTACCTCTCTGATGTTAGTTCCCACCATTCTTCCTCTTTGCTCACCCAGCTCGAGTTACACGGGGCTGCTTTCTCTTTTTAAACTACAACAAACACTTTCCAACCTGTTATGGATTAAATTGTGTCTCCTAAAAATATATGTCAACTTGGCTAGGCCATGATTTCCAGTATTGTGTGGTTGTCCTCCATTTTATGATCTGATGTAATTATCCTATGTGTTGTAAATGCTAACCTCTATGATCTTAAAGAGGCAGGATTCGAGGTAGTTATGTTAATGAGGCAAGATACAATCTATAGGATTAGGTTGTATCTTGAGTCAATCTCTTTTGAGATATAAAAGAGAGAAGGGAGCAAATAGGGGAGGGATCTCATACTACCAAGAAAGAAGAGTCAGGAGCAGAGTGCATCGTTTGGACCTGGGATCCCTGTGCTTAGAAACTCCTAGACCTTAGGGAAGATTGTTGACCAGGACCTTCCCCCACAGCCAACAGAGAGAGAAAGCCTTCTCCTGGAGCTGGTGACTTGAATTCAGATTTCTAGCTTCCTAGGCTAAATTTCTGTTTGTTAAAGCCATCTTCTTGTGGTATTTCTATTATAGCTGCACTAGATAACTAAGACACCATCTTTGGGGCTTGTACTTACTATTTCCTCAGTCAGGAACAATTTTACCCAGATATTTGCACGGTCCATTTCCTATTTTCATTGAAATTTTCTCTGAAGTGTTTTCTCCTCAGGGATACTGTCCCTGACAATTCTATCTAAAATGGCAGTCCCATCACTGTGTATCCTGTTTTCCAGCTTTACTTTTCTTTGGAGCACTTATGCTACATCTGGCATGAATTTGTTTCTCTATTTGAGTCTGTTTGTAGTGTAAGCTCCACAAGCCCATCTCAGTTTTGTTCACTCTTCATTCCTAAGATCTAAGACAGTGACTGGCATACAGTACATGCTCAATAAATATGTCTTGAAAGAATGAATCTATATTATTGAAATGATTCTGGAATTCACTTTATTTCCTGTGAGAAAATCTAGTCTAACTTTTTTTTCCATTTTGCCTAATTATGCCCAATTTATCTTCCTTGTGTTTCTCTCTTGAACTCTGGTTATCATCCTGCTTTAGTTATCTAGTGCTGCTATAAAAAATACACAAGTGGACGGCTTTAACAAACGGAGGTTTATTCTCACACTGTTTAGGAGGCTAGAAGTCTAAATTCAGGGTGCCAGCTCTAGGAGAAGGCTTACTCTCTCTGTCTGCTCTGGGGGAAAGCTCCTTGTCATCAATTTCTGGTCTAGGAGTTTCTCAGTGCAGGGACCCCGGCTCCTCTTCTTTGGTAGTACTGAGGTCCCTGTCTTTTCTGCTTGATTCTCTCTTTTATATGTCAAAAGAGACTGGCTCAAGATACAGCCTAATCCTGTAGATTGAGTCCTGCCTCATTAACATAACTGCCTCTAATCCTGCCTTATTAACATCATGAAGGTTATAATTTACAATACATAAGATAATCACATCAGCTCACAAAATGGAGGACAACCACAATACTGGGAATCATGGCCTAGCGAAGTTGCTGCACATTTTTGGGGGACACAGTTCAATCTGTAATACACCAAATTATGATTTTTTGATCTTTACAGTAGAAAACTTTACATGTTGGAAATTTTAACATGTTACTTTCTATTTTAAAAACTACTAACTGTTCAAAGCAAAAATAATAAAAATGTATTAGAGGGCTTATAAGATAGATAGCAGTGAAATATATAACAATAGCAGCACAAGGGGTCAGAAGTAGAATAAATGGAAAAATATTTTATAATGTTCTTGCATTGTGCAGTAAGAAGAGAAATATTAATTCAAGATAGACTATTAAGTAAACAAAGTATAATACAACACATAGAGTGACCACTAAAACAACAAAAGGGTATATCCAAAATTTGATAGAAGAGATTACACGGAATAATAATAATAATTTAAAAAAACTTAATTCAAAAGAAGGCATGAAAGTCATATGGGACAAATGGAAAACAAATAGCAAAATATTAGACCTAACTCAATCATATCAGTAATACCAGAAAATGTAAATGAAGTAAACACTCCAATATAAAGACAGAGATTGTCAGACAGGATTTTAAAATGATCCAATTATATTCTCTCTTCGAGAAACATATTACAGAGGCAGGATGAGAAGGCAGGAAAGGACAGGAGCTGGAAACCCAGGGTGGAAATGGGGAGTGTGCTGTCACATTATAGGGATTGCAACTAACGTCACATAACAATATGTGTATACATTTTTGTATGAGAAATTAACTTGAGCTGTAAATTTTCACCTAAACACAATAAAAAAAGAGAAACATATTACATATAAGATCTTGGATATGTTCAACACGAAAGGATGGGGACAAATACATCATGTAACACTAAACATAAAAAAGTTGAGATGTAGGCTTTAAGATAGAGAATATTACCCAAATAAGAAGGAACATTTCATAATAATAAATAGAGTCAATTGATCAAGAAGACATAATAATTATAAATGTGTAAAAGTATCTAATAAATGTACTTCAAAATATATCAAACAAAAATCGACAAAATAAAAATTAGACAGGTTCACAATCATAGTTGGAGATTTTTAATACTGCTTTCTTATTAAAAGTGATAAAATATGCAGACAAAAATTCAGTATGGATATAGAATATTTAAACAACACAAATAATCAGCTTGACATAACTGACATTTATAGAACATTACAACTGATAATTACAGAATAAATGTTCTAGTTAAAATAAATCATATGTTTGACTACAAAGCAAGCCTCAATAAATGTAAAAGGATTGAAATAATTTAGAGTATGTTACCTGACCATAATGGATTTGAATTAATAATTAACAACAAAAAGATATCTGAAAAATACCCAAATATATTGAAATTGAGCAAGCATTTCTACAAAACCTATGGGTCAACAAAGTCATAAGGAAAACAGACAATATTTTGAATGAAATAACAATGAAAACACAGCACATCAAAAATTTTGGGGTGCAACTAAAGCAGTGCTCAGATGGAAATTTATAGCTTTTAATGTCTATATTAGAAAAGAAAAAAGTTTAAAATCAATGATCTAGGCTTCCACCCTTAGAATTATTTCTAATTTATTGGTTTGAAATAGAGGATAAAATCAAACCAAAACAAAAACGAAGGAAAAAATAAGAAAGACCTGAAGTCAATAAAATAGAAAACAGATTGTAATAGGAAATCCACAAAGCCAAAAATCGATTCTTTCAGAAGTTTAACAAGGTTGAGACACCTCTAGCAAGACTGATTAGGGAAATAAAAGAGAAAATACAATTTACCAAAATTAAGAATGGCAAAGGGGATACAACGTCAGATCCTACAAACATTAAACAGATCATAAGAAAATATTAGAAACAACTTTATTCCAATAAATTTGACAATTTAGACTAAATGGACAAATTTCTTGAAAAACACAACTTTCCAAAACTTAAGAAATTGATATAAGAAGAAATAGGAATTTGGATAGTCCTATATTCGTTAAAAGAAATTTAATTTGTAATTAATAACTTTTTTTCCACAAAGTAAGTACAGGCCCAGATAGTTTCACTGGTGAAGTCTACCAAACATTTTAAGAAGATAAAATACAATATTACAAAAATCCCTCAGGGAACAGAAAAAGAGGGAATACTCTCCACCATGTTTGATAATGCCACCGCAATTCTGATACCAAAATGTGATAAGGCTGTTACAAGAGAAGAAAATTACAAACTAATATTCCTTATGAAAATGGACACTGAAATCCTGAACAACATACTAGTGCATCAAATCAAGAGATGGTTAAAAATGATAGTACCCCATGAACAATTGTAATTTATTCTAGGAATGCAAGGTTGTTTTAACATTTAAAAATGAATCACTGAGACAACCTACTGGTTGGGAGAAAATATTTGGTAATCATATACTTAATAAGGGTCTAATATCCAGAATACATAAAGAACTATAGCTCAACAGCAAAAAGACAAACAACCCAATTAGAGAATGGTCAAAGAGCTTGAATAGACATTTTTCCAACGGAAATGCACAATGGCCAATGCGCACATGAAAAGATGCTCAACATCGTTAGTAATTAGGGAAATGTAAATCAAAACCACAAAGAGATACCACTTCACACCCACTAGGATGGCTATTATCAGAAAAATGGAAAATAACAAGTGTTGGTAAGGATGTGGAAAAATTGAAACCTTCATGCATTGCTGGTGGGGATATAAAATGGTACAGCCACTGTAGATAACAGTCTGGCAGTTTCTAAAAAAGTTAAACATAGAGTTACCATATCACTCAGGAATTCTACTTCTGCGTATATAACCAAAAAACTTGAAAGAAGAACTCAAACAGATACTTGGACACCAAAGTTCATTGAAATATTATTCACAGTGATCAAAAGGTAAAAATAACCCAAGTGTC